TCTCTCTCTCTCTCTCTCTCTCGCGCTTATGGCAATAATAGTATATAGTTTATTTTTACATGCAAAAACAAAAGTTTTTATCACAGTGGGACAGCATACATTCGATAATAATGTAATATTATGTCGATAACTTTTGCTTTCGCCCACGAGACGTTTCCTGCCGACTTTCGCACCCGGTATGATCCTCCTCATCCGGCATCCGCATTGATCAATCATCAGTAATTACCGCCTTGCAGCAAACGCGCCTCCCACTCGCACGCTCGACGATCACTTAATCTCGCGAGATCATCCGACGACGGTCGGACGACGATCGCGGAGAGATGGCCAGGTTGGCGAATGTCGCGAATCATCTCGTCCAATTAATTAATTATATTGTCAACTGTGCGTATACACGTCCCACGTATCATTAACGTGCGCGTCAACGACACAATCAATTAATTGTCGGTGCTCACTTTGTGGTTACATCGTTAAAACTACAACGATTACATCGATTTAATAGCGACGTCGCTAATTAATTCCTACGTTGCCGTAACATTTTCTTATAAATATCTCTATATCGACCCAGCACACATTGTGCGTAAAACTGAAGAAGAAAAAAAAAGAAGGAAATGATCTCGTCTCTACGCGGAGCCAACGCGAGAAGAATCGTCATCGTAATCGCGTCGTTAAATACAGTTTGATTTCGTCGTTTCCGTCTGTCTTGCTGCAAGGCTATCTCTCACACCCTTTTTCTTTCTCGGTCTCGAGCGCGCACACACATATACAACTTATTAGATTCATCAACTTTTATTACCTATTTGTTGTCAGCATCGATTATGTCGGTCTATCGTGAACTTTCGTACCTCTCCGACTTCTTTCCACTTGCCGTCCTTCTCGCACAATCGCACTCTCTTTCTCTCTTTTACACATTCGCTTATACAAAAGCTAAGGCAAAGGCTTATTCACATTCGCTCTCTTTCCTCCTCTCGCTCCGTCGCTCCTGGCAAACTTTCAGGAGATCACGATGCAGCGCGCGTCCCGGTCGACGAGACGTTCCCCACGAGACGGTTCCACGCTCTACCACACACAGAAAAATATATACTGCATTCAAGTAAATATTACTTGTTTCAAGTACTTCGTAGGTTTATACATTCACAAATCAGAAGCTCATCATAAGCATCAAATTTGTTTAAGAGACATTCTGAATCCTCTAGCGCAAGTTTAACATTTCAATCAAGAATATTCAATTAAAGCGAAAATTTTGTTTACTTACTGCATAGAGTTGCACACTGAATTTTTCTTCGATAAAGTTTCATAATATTTCTGCAAAAAGAATAAATCTTTTTCTTGATGAGCTTGTCTCAAATTTGTGAAGAGTATATATTTTAAAACTATATTACTTATAAAGATATTCTTTGTTGAAGATTACTGTAAAGAAGGAAAGTAAATTCGCTTTCGTTAGCAGTGGAATGATATTTTTCTTTGTGCACCCTCGTGGAATCGCCATCTCCCATTTCACACGATCGTTTTATCAGTTAATATCATCGGTTGGACGATATTCGTTAACAGTCCCGAATCGGCCAGTTCCACCACGCGATCGCCTCGTAGCAGCCGATGGAATTGGCGCGACGCGGCGGCGTAACGTCGAGTTCGACGATTTCGCGACACGAAAGTTGATTCCATGAAGTCGCGATCGAATCGCGACACAAGTCGATCGAGTCAACTCATGTGCCAAGATCGGACACACGAGAACCGCTCGACAATGCGAACACGTGTGCAATAATAGTTAAGTGTACTCGCATACGATGGGAGACAAGGCGTTCTCTCTCTTATTCACTATCACTTAGAGCCGTTTATTTCTCATTGATTCGCTGTTTTTCCCCAAATTTTCTTTCATCAGTTCGCCAAAAAATATGCCGTTCAACTATTATTGCACCCTGCCATAGCGAGCCTAGCACGACACCGGCCTATCCTCCGTAAAGAAAAGTGAAAACGAGAATAAAAAAAAAATGAAAAGAAGCCGCACTTTCGACGCACTCACCCGTAACGTAACCCCGTCGAAACGCGTGTCCCACCTGTTTTCTCTCCTTCGACTCGCGGCCGGCTCACCTCTTCTCATAAATGTTTATGCATTTGAACGGATTGTTGTAATCTCGGAATTCTCTCGGAATTCAAGCCCAACTCATTAACACTTTCGGTTGTGATCCGCTTCTTCGCGAGAGCACATAGGCACGCACACGCGATTTTCTGATATAAAACAACGGCGAGCTTTTTCACAAAGCTCCAACACGATATACTCGTGTTCACGAAATATTCAAAAACTTTGTTGTGTACAAATTGGCGTACAGAAAATAAGTACAACTTGTTCCGCGTGCGAGACAACTGCAGACTTGACAAGGAAATATCGCGCGGGAAGAAGCGCGACTGAAATCTAACGAAGAGTTCTCGTCAGGTGACTATCGTTCGTTCATATTGCTCCGTCAGGCAAATTTGTAGAAAAGAAATTCGTGAGCCCGATAAAAAATAACTCCGCCTCAACGAAATGAGTTTGAACGGAATTTTTTCGTAAGCACCAAATGACACAGCGCACAGAGATTTAATATGAAAATATCACGCATTCTACTACTTCGAATATAACTACTATAAGGCAAAGCGCGCGATTCGCGCGAATTTAACAAAACACCAAACTCGTCCGTTCGCAATTTAGAATAAAAGTTATTACACGCACAATCGATGTCTATCAAAAATATTAGAAATCAATTTTGAGACGCTTGCATTCAAAATTGCAATTATCACGTGAAAGTACAGCTCGACGATTCTCGTTGATCGAGTGAACTCTGATCCTGCACTCAGTCGAACGTAAGGATTCGATCGGTTGTTTGAATTTCGCAAAGTCAGGATCGCATGTGTGTGTGCCTGTTCGATGCGTTTGCGAGAGCCTCTGTGAAGAAACTCGTCTCGTCGTCGAGTTTCCGCGATCGATGTGGCTCGCACAAACGCGCAATTGATACAACACGACGCTTTACTATATAATATATGTACGCATGTATATATTATAAATAATCAATTAAAGGTTTGCTTTAAACGTAAGTAAAAATATATAGATATATACTCGTATATATTTTTTTTCCTTTTCCTCTCTCTTTCTTTCTCTCATATATGCACCACATATTTCTTGCTGAAATCTACATACATACATACACACACACACACACACGCACACACAGGTTGTAATTTGATATGTGGAAAACACTATAGATATATGAACCAGCATTTTAAAACAATACAATAAAATTCTATATAGACATTTCCGATTTAGCCTCATTTCCAAATTATAATAAGTTCTCGCTATCGTTGTGTTTCAGTAATTCTTTCTAAAGACCAGAGCCCGCATTCTAAATTGTTTTTATGGATAAAAAGGAATTCAGAATAAGAACCTAAGTCCTCACTAAAACATATTTCATTCAATTATTTATCAACTCAGATAGCACAAACAAAAGATATGCCTTTTGAAACACGTTTTAGCGATGTTCAAGTGGCATTTTTTTTTTTTTTTTTTTAAATTTGCGCTATGTAGAAAGTTTTTCAGCAAATCGGTATAACGCCTGAAAGTGTCGGAAGAGTACAGAAATCTCGATAATGGTGCAAGATAATCAATGTAAGCACCTTGTATAAAGATAAGCAGACAAAAGTTGCTAGAAAATTTAACATATTCCCACATATTAAGTTACACCTTGCAAACATATGTAAGTATGCTTTGTGTATATGTGTGTGTACGTGTGTGTACATATATGAAAATTCGTACGTGCATGTTGCACTTGTATATAAATGTAATCTTTTCCGATCGGAAAAGCAATGACTAGTGCGACTCGCGATATATTTCGAGAGAAACGCCGACATATTTTTTATATTTATATATTATATATATATATAAAATTATAATTTGAGACTCGTGGAGAGAGTGTACACTCAAAAAGCACTTCGCTGAAACATCATTATAATTTATAAGAAGAGATTAACACAGAATATATTTAATAAAATATTAAACTTTACATATAAGACTTTACTATACGCGACTGCATCCTAAACTTTTACCCTGTAAAATTTCACGCAAGGAATTAGTCGCACCACCATAGGTGTTCCATCGCGAATCGCACTCGTCCATATTCACAAACTCATTTCGAACGCTACAAGGATTATCCATCGTCGTCAGGTCGTTCTTTCCGCACTCAACGGATCGATCATTCTCTCGTGGTAAAAACTCTCGAAGAATCGTCTCTCGAATCAAAAGAATACGACTGGTTCTCACTTGTCTTACTACTGCTTATTATGCAAGAAGGAAATCTATCAAACCTGTTCTTCGAGGTACACAGAGTTCATGTAATGATTTGAGTCTGCTTGCAAGTTCTTCAGAACACGAAACATCTTAAAATGTGATGAATATGAAACGATGTGATACAATAAAGAGGTAACGAATCCACTAAGAAAGGAAAGAACGACGAAAGCGTCAAAAGAAACAAACGGACGATAACAGATTGGATAATCACGAAGTGCAAGTCTGAAAAAGCTTGCTTGTCGCTTCTCTCCCATCTCTTTCGTATAAAAAATCTTAAACTACTTAAGCCTACGCGTAATTCGAAACACTCGGGATGAGCAACGTGCCTTTTGTTCACCGATAGTTTTCTCTTCTGCAACTTTTCCACTCGCAATCTCGTATCTCTTCTCAACATTGTCTCGCGACGTTCGCCGCATCGCGCTCTTTCTTCGGAGTGAAAAGATTAACGTCGCGCCGGACTTTCTCGCTCGTTCACTTCCCTCCCCATCGCGTAACACATCAAAAACTGCAGTCACTGCAGCAAAAAGGACACGTGCAAACAGAAAACATTCATTTACGTACGTGTACTCTCATACGAATCATTCGTCATTCAAAAGTGGCGCAAATCGCAAATCGAAGCGCTCCCGATACACTCTCGACGTTTACCGACCGCTCTGTAAACGCGAGATTTCTCGGGAACATATTCGAGCGTTTTTTCTTCTTTTATCTCAATTCAGAGAGCAAAACGTAACAAAGAAACAGAATTTGAATATCATGAAAGAAAATATAAGAGATATGCGATTTTTTTGGCAAAAAATAGCGAACGCTCCATCTATGGACAATGAAACGAATAAGGAGCACATGTTTCCTACGTTGACATTGCGATCTTTCTATTATTTCTGATCAATCCTATTTGCAGAAACATATTATGCTTCGTGATCAAACTTGAACTTGATCACTATTCCTTACGATCTAGCCTATTACATTTCGTGCCACACATTAATATTTCGTATTCTTCATTCTTTATTTTCTACTTTCATCTACCACTCTGTTGAGATCATTCGGAACAGATCCCGGCGTGCTCGAGCAAGAAAGGCCGACTTGACGCATCGATCGCGAGGATCACGCAGCACAACTTTTTGCTCAGAAAAGAAAGCTCATTTATATTTAAATCTCGATAAAAAAGATGCAATAGAAAAGAGGGAAACCAGAAAATGAAGATAAGAAATTAGAAGATGAAGGCAATCGAAAATGACGAACGCGATAACCGTCTTAATCACTTATGGACACACAATCCGAAATTACATATATACATCTATATCATCTTTTTCACGTAAATATCCTTAACGTTATATTCGAAATCTAATGTATAAAAAAAGCTCTCGTCGACGAGACTTCGTCGCGATCCGCTGCGGAACGCGATCGAGAAAGGCTGACAAAGATGCTCGATTCACTTTCGCTATTAAAGACTTGGTTGCAAGAATCGAACTGGTTTGCTTTTGCATTCATTTCACAGGAATAATAGAAACCAAACACAATAATGAATAATAGACTCAAACACAGAGATCAATAATAAACTCCTCAATCGCTATAAACACGATATAAAGCATGGTACGTTCCAACAGACGATATGGCACACCTTTGGTAGATTATGACGCGAGTAGACAAAACAGTAGAAAACAGTGTAGAAAACAATAAAACATTTGCCTTGACATTTAAAAAAAACTTTATGTAAAATATTATGCCTTTTGATTATATATCGATATTTACGTCAATATCGATAATAGCTTTTAACATTTTTTTCGAGTAAATGGGCCTGCCAGATTCTTGCGACCACTCTTCGGTTATTACAAAGCGGTACTAAAACAATACGTCGCGGGTACTTGGAAACTCTGGACGTACTCTAATATCACTAATGAAATTTAATGAAAACTAAGTCCCCCTTCGTCGGGCGAATGGCAACATTTTTGTCTTTTAACGAGCTCTTCGACCTTCTAAGCGACGCTTGCACAAACAACGCTGCACCAACGCGGGGAATTTTAAGCAACGAGGACGCGATAGTTTTCCAATTTTATTCGAGTGATTACGTTTAACCCTTAAGAGTCTTGATGTAATCGTATCGCGTTGCAAATTACACGGTAAATTGGTTTTACGTGAAAATCTTATGCGAAAATTTTATAAGAGGAGCAAAGCATATATATTATAGAACATGCAATCGCCACAGACACATGGTAACACGTAATATAGATTAACTTGTCACATGAAGAATTATGAGAATCACTATTCATGGATATTTCACAAAACATATCGACGTAATAGGCACCACTTATAATAGTGTAAACACTAATAATTTTCATTTATCGAGCTGCAGTGATTTCGACGAGATTCTAGATTTTCGCCGATTTCTTTTTTTCTAGATAAAATTCAGACTATTAAAGGTTAAACGTACGAGACACGACTACCCTGATTACCTGAACAACGTAAACTGCATTCGAGGCGAACGAAGCATGGCCTGCACTGCTGGCCCCCGGACATGCATTCTTCTGGCTCTAATGTTTCCGATCGGATTCCGTTCCCGAACGTTTCCGAGCGGATCGATTCTGTGCGACAACGAACGTTAAGATCTCAAAACACATTATCTCTTCTTGCAGAACAAAATCGGTCGCGGTAGATTCGCCACCATTCCACTATAGTTCCGGCGCGGAGCTTCGACAAGATCCTCCGCGCCGTTAAATCCTGAGGAAGTGTTGGTGACATTCATATTGGTGTTGGTCCTATTAGTCCAGAGGTTCCCGAGCCTTCTTAGTCCAACAGCTCTTTGAATCCAACACATATACATTCTTTGCGTCTCCTCTTCGACACCTTCCCCAAATACTACAGTAACGTTGAAATAGGTAAACGTGGATACAAATAGGGCCATATGTCCGGCACATTCGGACCTCTCAATAGTAGTCATCTGTTACTGATAGTAATAATTACATGACGTGAAAGTCAATGTATATCCAAGTCGATCTCGTCCCACGTTTACCCATCTTCCTTACATATTTACGAAATTAAATCTAATCGTATTTACGTTCTCAAATTATCTCTAAATGTCCAATAAAAAATGTTTGAATATCTTTTAATTATATTTAACAGCCGGTAAATATATCCTATAAAAATGTCGTTTTTTCTTGGAATTAACTTCCGAGCTTTGAATTCGTTGTTACGAGTTCTGTCGGGCATACGAAGAAACTCGTTTTTCACTTCAGCGTCCTCTCGCGGACAAGAATCTCATCTCTTTGAATAAGTGTCCGCGACGTGCCGTTTGGGAACCTCTGCGTTAGTCGAAGCGATCGTTACCGTACCGCGGTAACCCGTACATATCTAATTCTACCGCTAATATCTCTTACGATTATTATCGCATTAACGACTGCTACACATTATTTCGAGACTTATCTATCACTCGATGATAAGTGATCGACCGGCGCGCGCATGGTCGATCGCGCACTATCAAAATGTCGACATTCGCACAATGTAGTTTTCTAGGACTGTGACATACGCGTAATCGTAATACGCGATCATGAGAGGAACGTCCCGAATGAGGAGCGTTTTGGACGATCGGCGCGTAATGCTCGGAGGGACTCACGTGTGAATGCGCACACGTGCACAAACGTACTCCATCGGACCTTGATCGCGATGCAGGGCGAGTAGATATTACGTATGCGGCACGACGAGCTGATTCTCGTGGGGTCGCGCGAACTGCAATTGGTTCTGCGTGTGCATCTGGAATTGCACGTGCTGAGCCTGGAGTTGTGCGAGCGCTGTCGACGTAGCGAACGCTGGATAGGCCAGAGTAGTGGTCAGACACTCATTGTGCTCCTCCAAAGAGTTCTGAGCGTAGTGCAGCACCAAATGCTTCAGACTCTCGTGGATGTTGTATGGCTCGGCGAAACCGTAGCCGCGTTCGGTAGCATATATTATGCAGTGCTGTACTGTGCCGCTGCACCTGTAACAATACAATTCTTAATCAGCTAATCCTTAATTAACTAATTCAGAACTGTTAAATCCTTGCTATTTTATTTATTACGAAAGTATTTCATTAAGAATACGACGAATCAACAACGGTTATTGGAAAGATTAACCTTTGCATTAAAAGACACACGTGTTATTACTACTATTATCTATACTATAATCACGATGTCCATAACCGATTATACTAATTTATGCTCGTCAATTCACATACGCGCGCACACACATACATGCACACACATACAACATAGAAAGCGGCGCATCACTTACAACAGAAAAGAGAGAGAGACTTACATTATGGAAAGTGCGTATTGGCCTGTCCTTGACCGGCGAACCAGGAAGGTACCGTCGGGCCGGCCCATTAGAATGTGATCGGCGTCGCAACGAGAACCCTTCAAGTATAGCCACGTCTTCTCGTCGGAGTGGACCTCAAGGTCGACCTCTTGAAGATCACCATAAGGCACTTCGCCGACAATAGAATTTGTATGCGAGTGATTCAAGACAAGCTGATTGATCTTATTCTGCTTCATCCCGTTCTTCTTCAACCATCTGCAAAATTTGCAACAAAACGCAAACAAGTCAATACAGTCTTTCGACGTGAGAAGAAACGATTATTTCGACGTAAATAAAAGGAGTAACACGCACAGAGAATGGCGATCCTTTTGCCGCGCGAGCTGCCCGATCTCCGACTTCAACTTGTACATTTCTCTCTCAAGAGTTCTGTAGTAAGCGACCTGTTGCTTTAGGCTCTCGTCTAGTTGCTCCTTGCTGTCTTCCAAAGACTTTAATCTTCGCTTCAACAGTTCTGCGTTATCTGTCAAACTGTAATTGTATATTACTCTTTAGGCGTCCTATTCTAACGTTCGACAAATGTTCTAAATGTTGCGTCTTTAATTTGTTTTGAAGAAAATAATCGAGTACTCACGTAGAAATTTCATGGGGTTGGGCTTCCTTCTGGAATTTTTCTTGTAGTTTCATCTGTTCCTCAAACATCTTAATGGCCTCTGAAAAGGCTTCCAATGCCTGACGCTTCAATTGGACTTCGTAGGCCGTTTTACTGTACAAATCTGAACAATTCTGATATTGTCGTATGGTATCTGTTATCTCCTTTTCCAGCTCTACGAACTTTTGCACCACTTTCGCTATGTCGGTCGTGTTGGCAATCTCGTCATCCTATTTTCCGGCCGAAAAGAAGATATTGAGCTTAAGAGTGATGAAAGTTTTCCTTAAGGTTTTGACCGACTCGGAGAATTCAATAAAGATTACCTGCTGACATCGTGTCACTGGGTAAAGCAGTTTGATATCCAGCACAGAGTTGTACTGCGCAAGGGAGCAGTTTCTATAGTAATCGACTAGCTCGATGACCGAATGAAAGTTGTAAGGATCCGAGAATCCGTATTTTCCATTCCGATGACTGATCTTGATGAGCTTATTGGTGCCGCCCTTACGTAGCGTCAAAGTATACTCGCCGCCTTTGGAAGACGCATTCCGCACTAGAAAGGTACCGTCTGGCGAATCGACCATCATTTCATTTACCTCGTCTCTCGTGATGTCACCCCAATACCACTCAGCTTCTTGAAGAGTGCGCGGCCTGCAATTTTTCCAATAATAATTACACGTTACATTGTTGCCCATTCGTTGCATAATTTAATCATTTCGTTCAATAAATCTTAAACGAGTCGCGCAAGATTTGTGTTAAAATGAAAAACGTTTCGGATAAGATCGAGAAAAAAGTAAGAGCTAAAATCGAATCTAAAATTTCAACTAGAAGCGATTATGATTTGGACCGAATAGGACAAAATAGAATCTCACCTGTGTGTCTGTTGGTCCTTGCTAGTATCCGTGCCAGGTGCCGATCTGTCTACGGCTTCATCCTCGGGAACTGGGTATGGATCCATAATCGGAAACTGTGGTCTCGAAACTTTGCGCGGAGGTAATTGAGGCGGGCTAGCAAACTCCGGTAGCCTCTCGTTCCAATCGCCGTGCAGCAATAGCAATTCCATTATACGTATATGCGCCTCCGTGTTGTGGACAACTTGACTATAAAATCATGCAGTGCGAGGTGCTGAATACTTGGCAATTAAATGTCACATATAGTCTATCGAATAATTAATCTTACAATTAGTAATAAGAAGCGATTGTTATTTCGCGTTACAACAGTACTATACTGTTTGTATAATATCGTGTTCAATAGTCGCTAGAGATGGCCAGCTGCATACATCGTATGACATCATATTCCATTTGGAAAGCTCAAATAAAGAAATACTGGGAAGCCGAATTGTTTTCGATAAGTTTACTCGAGGGGGAGAACAATCTAGTACATTATCAGTACACAAAAGTCTTTTTACCAAAGGCCTGTTCTTTTTAGCTCAACAAGTGCCGAAGAAACTTTGTTCCTTTTTCTTTCGACGCCAAATTACATACTTGTTTTGCTTCAATGGCAAAAAGTGAAACCTAGTTCGGCTAAGGAGAACAGACCTTAACTATTAACGCAGTAGTGGCCCAGTCGTTAAAAAAACGAGCGCCGTGCGAAATACACCCTACTCCCGAGCCTTCCCCTACGACTAGAAGGATCCCACGTGGCACTCACATGATTCGCTCCCAAGGCGGCCTAAGAAATATGTGACACAGCACTTGCACGAGGATGGTCGGTGGTTCCGTATAACCCCGGCCGTGCTGCAGCTGGCAGATGCGACAAAAGTGCGCCATCAAGTGGAACAATGTGCTGCGGTGATGTTCCGGAAGCTCTGCTACTAATTGACTAAGACGGGTCGCGCATTGTTCATCGCTCCTCATATCTGCGTGACGAACACAAATTCGAACTGATAACACTGATCTTAAGTTTAGTATAACAGCAGTACTTATTGTTGTCTTCTTTATCTCACAAATACAATATAAAATGTTATGTATTGATACTTGTTTTACATGCAATAAAATTTACAAAGTAGAATAGAATTGGATCGAGATTAAACTTTAGAATAGTTGTGATGACTTTTGTAATTGCAAGATATTCAGTTATACGATAGGATACTCACTCGACGCCTCCAGAAACCTATCGTACCATTGCACAGGAATCACTGGATCTGGTAACTCCCGTAAAAATTTCTTCAAGACACTCGCGATGCACTGTGGGGTGTAGGGACTCAGATCCGCGTTGCAGACATCTGAAAGTATTACATCAAGATATTGCAGTCGTTTTCAATCATCGTCTGTCTTAATTATGGGCGGTTTAATAAAATTGCGCGCGTTAATGACTAATTAATCCAACAATTTCAATCGAAATATCTTTGGTTGCAAGAGATGCGCTGCGTACAGCTGGAATGGCTAAGTACATTTAAATCGTGTACTGCGGATATAAATAACTTCGGCATACGATACGTATCTCAGGAAAAATGTTTCGGAAACTCGCTTGGCGCCACTTTAAAAATAACCGATTTATACGACACGTCGCAAGAAGTCGAGTAGAATTTCAGCGATACGCGCGAATGAAACGTGTAGATCACGTTTAGCGCTAAATGCGGCCGCGGGAAGCCGGGACAAAGATCCAGAACCCGAAAGGGGCCCTCCCTTGGCCGTTCGTTGTTTCTGAAATCTCGATCCGCGTCGCGCAAAATAAGCGCGCGCGCCCTTTCCTTTTTCTTCGTCTTTGCTATCGGGGATCCGGCTCCACAATGTTGCAGCAGCAGCAGCAGCAGCAGCAGCAGCAACGGCGGCGGCGGCGGTAGCGTGCACGCGCGAGTGCATCTGTGCGCGCTGCGACATTTTTGCAACGCGCGCCGAACATTGTGGAATGGAATGACTGCGCGGCGCTATTTATAGCGCGCGATCGCGCGATCCGGCCGGCGCAGCCGACCGGCCACAAGTTGCGCGCGTTTGTCTTACCTTCGTTCAGCTTTTGTCGCAGCTCGAGAGTCTGTTCATTAGGCGGGCTGCTGTGGTAAACTTTGTAGAGGTCCAACGTCGTGTCGGCGAAGGCCTGCTCTTCGAGGGCGCGGGTACATCGTTCCACCAGAATCGGCGCCGTACGGCTGGCAATGTCGAATTGCGAGCACAACGCGAGACCGAACACTACAAAGTACAGAAAAAAAAAAGATCATATTGCTGCGAATTGTTTTCAAGCCAGCGCACGCGTTGTGTGATGATTCGATCTCTTGAATAACACCAAGCGGACAAGCGCGGTAAAACGCGGTAACGTTTGCCTGGATGTATTCAAATTGTCTAGAGCGTAAAAGTACCAATGACTGGATACTAATAACACTGATAACTAATTCTGGACATTCCTATTGTTTTGAGAAGAATGTTATTAGTTAGTGTTATTAGTGTTCAGGCATTGGTACTTTTGCCTTAACTCTAGTTGGATTAAATGGTTAAGATCATCGCGGCGACGACATCATTAGACATCGTACTCGACCGCGAAATTCGACGTGGACAAAGTGGAATTGCGTAACATCGCAATCATTCGAGGAATGTTCAAAGAGAAGAAATTTCTCGACTCCTGGCAAATTTTCACGTCGGCAACCAAGCTCCTTGTCGCTGTTTATTGCCGCTCCTCTTTCCTTGATCTTTACGTTTTCTTTCTTTCTTTTTTCTCTCTTTCTCTCTCTTTTTCTCGCTCTTTACACGGCTGACGAACTTTTGACTTTATTTTCGCGCGAGGATATATGTGCCATGCTTCGCGCGATCATATTTTCAGGCTCAATCTCGTTCTCTCTTTCTCTATCTTTTGCGAATGCTACTTATACACGCCACTTGTACAATCAAAGGCATATACGCGTGCATTATGACAAGAGAGAGGACGAGAATGTAGTGAACGGGTCGGAGGGGGAGGGAACATTGCGTAGGGGGAGGGAGAGGAAGAGGAGAGAAATTTATTTTTACGACCGCGCGACAGCGACGTCTTGTTTCTTCATGACCGTATCTTCTTCTTTGAAGAAGGACGAATGACGAGAGAGGGAGAGATAGAGTAGAGTTGAGAGGGAGAGAGAGAGAGAGAGAGAGAGAGAGAGAGAGAGAGAGAGAGAGGGGGGAGGGGAAGGAGAGAGAAGACAAAAAGTCGGAATTAAAACACGAGCTACAGGCGAGAACGTAAGCACGCACGTGAATTTTATGCGCGGATGCACGGCGGAGGCCAGCCGGGCTGCGATATTCGTCACGAATGTACGATCATTCGTCGATGCCCGCACGAAGAAATCTCGAGAGGGCCGTTATCGAGCGCCGTCAAGCTCAAATAAATCGATGCGCGAGTAAAAATACCACATATTTCTATATGTTATTAGATTGCCAACTTCCCCTAAGTTTCGTTTATGTAAAGTGTCAATAGAAAATATCCAATAGTAAAGAATCCAGTTCTGCGCGGATATAATCAATATGTCATTCCTCCATATTTTTTTACATACTTATACTTATTTGTTCATGTTTTCTATAGTTTTGACCTATATAGCCGAGAGAAATATATTAAATTATATCTGTAAATGGTATATATACATATTTATTTCACTCATTCACTCGCTCTTCCTCTCGCTATCAAAGTTCACTGTCGAGGAGCAGCGAACTGTTTTGCGTTTTTTGTAGTCAGATTGATACGCGAATTAGAAAATTCTAGAGAACCACAATTAATGGCATCGCTGCCAAATTCTTTATGTCAACTTAATAAAACGTTATACCGAAATTGTCTTTAATTAATGCTTTTCCCTCGTACACTGCGCATGCACGGACAACAGAATTGTCAACGACATACACGAGCACGTAATGCATGTGCTCAAATAATTACTTTATCATCCAGCAAATTTCATCGGTTTAGTTTAATCTAATCAAAATCTAATACGATACCTTAAGTATGCTTGCTAATAAATATCCGAATAATATAGATTTTTTTTAAACGACTCATCGTTTCCTTAGAAATATATTAATTAAATTACTTTTCTGATTTATTTAACTTCCATTCCTTGTAAGAGAGATTCATTTAGCTCTACATTGTACTCTTTGCACTAAAGGGAATGTACTTCTCCATGCACACAAATAACAATAATGATATAATAAAAAAAAAAAAAAAA